CATTTTGCCTTACTGTAATCGTAGTTTTGCATGAGCAGTCCCTCAAATGGTCCCTCCCCCTGCCCAAATAGCCCCGAAAACCGGAGATGCACTTAGGATGAGCATTTCCATCGGGAATGATTCCTCCTATACTCCTTGGAATCCCTTACATAGAAGCTCGCCTACTATTCCACTAAAACGAAGTCTCCAACAGATTCACGCGACGGTCCGGGTGTGCAGGGAGCTGTGCTGGGAAAAAAATTTTCCCGGTTGTTGACTTTTCGCGTGATGTTCCTTTTCGTTTTTTTTCTCGTTTTTCCTTTAATGTGTATATATTATCCCCTCCTCCTCCCCCTCGCTCAACGAAAAATCTGGGTGAGAAACTGGAAAATGTGGGAAGTTCGTAGGTGTTGGGGTTGTTGAAGGGAGGTGGGTCGCGTGGGTCGCACTGAGACCCTTATTTAGGAACGTTCCATTCCGTAGGAACTAAATAGGCCCATGCCAACCCCCACCGGCTACTTATCCTTCACCTCACGCTCACCGTTCGGAATAGGGAAAGCAAGTAGAGCGGCTACTGTCTTGCTGATAGCTGACATCGTAGTGATAAGAACAAGTGAGATTGCGTACAAACACGCCTTCTCTTCGCTTATATAATGCACGTACAATCTGGCATCGGCATGGGCTCATATGTAGGGACTCCGAACGGATTTTCCTGCTTCTTTCAACCCGCAGTTACCTAGTACCCTATCGTTTAAATTTAAGTTCCACTATACACCATCTGTGATCGCTTGCCTTTAAGAAACAACATTTCGCAAAGGGTTAGGCGCGAGTCGTAACCTCTCAAAAGCTTCCATCTGACAGGTTATAAACTAGTCTCACATAAAAATAAACGATGAAAGTGTCTTGAGCACGTGAGTTTTCAACTTCCAGCGGCCATAACTTCGGAAATGCAGGATTGAGGGGTAAACAAAAACCAGTGCTGTAATGTAGAAGATTCTTCCTTCCCAACATTGCAAGCAAGTTACAAGTTGTCGCCCTCCAAAAGGATATAACTTCGTCCACATATAACTGCAGAGCAAGAGGTAAAATCTCATGGAAGCTGCAACATCCGCTCTTTCCAATTTCATTTAGCTTATTTTAAGTTCAAGTTCATCTGGAGATATAAAGTCTCGCAAGTGTTTACTCGAAATTAGATCATCCTTACTACAACTTCGCAAGTTTCGCTTTTCACTTTTTTCTGTCTCGCTCGCCTTCCCTAATGACTCCTCAAAACACCACCCCTACCTACATACTCGCAGCCTATGCCTCTTTGAGATTACTCAACGGATGATTAACCCTGTTACGAGAGGGTTAAACCCCCCCCCCCGTTCCTCAGTATCGGGGCTAATGGAAAAGGTTTCTTCTGTTGTTTACAGTTTTAAATGTGACAAATGGTCTGTACTTAAGTGCCCGGTGTCTGGTGGGGTGGTGCCACTCCGCAGTCTTGCGTTGATCTATAGAGAGATAGAATTTTTGAGGGTATAAGGAGCTTCGGATGGGCTAAGCGCTTCTCTTTTGTGAGGAGTTGGAATGTGCGAGGTGGCGCAGCCACGCTGGAACTTACTTCCTCTTGCGCACATCTTCATAAGAGTAGCGCATTAAGGCACTCTGCAGACTGGCCCCTCCTGAGGCACATAGCGCCGTCCTGTCATGTGCACAACTCGTGGTTTCATCAATAGGCTGAGTTCTATGACCCACATGGGATGGCCTTTGCACGACCCTACACGTGATGGGGCGGGCAATCCGTCTGGCGCTGTTATCGTCGTGTTGTTATTTTGCTGGATGGCCACTCTGCGTCTCTGCAATACTCTCGCGTCTGCGCCCCCACACTGTGCGGACTGCTGGTGGAATTGGTTAGGGGATGTTTTTCAACATTTCTTTCCCGTACATCTGCTGGTGATTCTCTCCCACATGTTCGTCTTGAGACCCTGTAAAAGCTGTTCGGGTTTCCAAGCAACTCCTAGAACTCTCGACGTTACGTACCTTGAGCCTTTCTCTCGTAGC